GATGGAGGACTTCTGTGTCAGACACACAGAATGTGGCCCTGGACATGGAGTTCAGGCTATAGGTAACGCCAGCTTTATTACACATAGTCAGGTATTAATATGAACAATTAGATTATTTCACAATTGCTCCCAATTCAATGTAATGCCCCTTTTTTTTTTTTTTTTTCTGTTGTAGGTACACCAAGAAATGACACCGTGTGTGAAAAATGTCTCAAAGGGCATTTTTCCAACTCATCTTCCGCCTCGGATCAGTGTGTAAAACATCAGGACTGCTCAGGGGAAAACGTCATGCTCCTCCAAGGCTCAGCGTTCCACGACACAGTTTGTGGCACCTGTGAAAGTCTCGCAAACGGAGGTAAGGACCTCGAGTCTGGAATGTCATATGACTCAAAACTCTAATGAAATTCACAGAGTGGGTTAGTAAGTTTTGGTAAGGCGAGACATTTAGACTTTAATCGAAACATCTGGTATTCTCATCCACAGGTGATGACCTCAGAGCAGTCCTGTCTGCATCACTCACTGGGAGCAGGATACCAAGAAGAGATTTAAAAAGACTGATTCACAAGTGAGATCACACTTAAACTTTTCTGCTATGACATTTTTCATCTATTATTTGCTCTTTTCTTTAAAGCTTAAATCACCTTTTTTATCCCCCCCTACAACAGGATCATTCAGAAGGATCAAGAGGATGATTTCACCGGAGACTCAGCTCTACCAAAGCAGAGAGGCCCTCTTGTAGATGTGATCAGAGTGTGGCTGGCCCAGGCTACTTCAGAGCAGCTCAAACAGCTGGCTAAAACCATGAGGAATTCCCAGTTTAGCTCCATAGGAACTAAACTAGAAAGCATCTTTGATGAAATTAAGCAGCGGAATCCTACCTGCAGTTTATAAAACCCATGTGAGGAGCCTGTGCTGAACTTAAACATCCTTTCTCGTAGTGTGCGTTTACTGAACATATTTTTTTTACAGAACTCTTTTAATTTTGCAATCATGTGCAGCATTATTGGGAGCAACAGAGGTTATCAGTATTACTAAATGTTCTTCATGTCTCTATAGGCTGGAAAAAAAACTGTTCATTCTTTGTTTTTGTTTCCTGTATGATGGGCCAGGTTGCCATTCATAGTAGCGTAATGACGTTTTTTGAATATCCCGGTGAAGTACTGAACTATATTTGTGTCAAAAATAAGCTTTAGAATGTTGTGAAAGGAATGTAAAATGTTTTGTAAATTACATGAAGTCAAACTGAATTTATAAACTGTTCTCGTACGGCAACAAAAATAAAGTTGAAGTTGTTTTAAGTAACTCAGGAAAGTCCTTATGTTCTTAATAATGTTTAATGAAACATAACTTTCAACAAGACTTCCTAATCAAGTTTATGCACATCTCAAAATATTAACTTTCCTTTACACAAGAAGAAATTTGACCTTTTGGGAGTTTGACTCAATGGATAACAGGAAAACACCCACATATTCAGATGAGTTCCTTATTTGACTATCTGATCGCAGAACTTCCACCATCAAAACTCAGCAACAGAAGTGAAAACGTAATGAGTCAGATAGTTATGTACATTAGGGCTTTAGGAATGAATGGAACTGTATCTATTCATATTTCAATTCACAATCTAACGGTGTTTCTGTTTTGAACCCGAATTAGATTTGTAATGACTTTTTACTATCTATGGAGTTATTTGCATTTTTCAACAATGAGCATCAGTCAGGATAGAAGCTACATGACAGGTTTGATCAAATCACAGGAAGCTCACCATTTCCCTGTAAAGATATCAGTTTTTATTCAGATAACATTTATCAATGTTGTGTCAGTGGAATGAAATTATGAAATTATTCTAAACACATTTCTTATTTTCATTCAAATGTCCTACCTGATTATCCATGCAGGGTGTTTTCTATCTCCAGTGGTCATTATAGGGATGCACGCTGTTTGTCTGTTAGCAGAAACAGCCATGAAGCTAAGAGAAACTTAAATTAATCTAAAATATGAAATGTAGGAGGACACAGGAGTACTCAGAGAAAAAACAGACACAGGAAGAATGTGCATACTCCATACATAAAGGCCCTGGCCTGAATTTAAAAGTCAGAACCTTGTTGCTGCAGGGGAACTGAGCATTTAGCTGCAACACAATGCAGCCCATTTCTTTTTCACAGATTAAGAAAAAAAAAAAAAGATCAACTCAAGCTTAGTTCCAACTTGGTGCAGATATTTCCATGACGTGATATATTGACAATAAAACAAGTCATGAGTAGTCCCAAAATGTTCACTTTTATGTCATAAAAATAAGATATAAAGGAGTTAATTACCTTTAATTGTTGAAGTTGACATGATTTTCCCATTAATATCCATAAAGAGGAATAAGTCATCCATTCATCCCTGCTTAACCTTACAGGACTGCTGGTGTCCATATATCCAGTGGCAGAATAAAAAAAATACTGAACTATAATTTGTATAATAGTTGTTGGGAAATGTAGTGAAAGAAATGTCTGAAACGTTAAACAGCTCACGTAAAGCACCGACATCAAGTTAACGTTGTTTTCACCAACTCAGCTCTTATGTAATTGTAATATGTGGACACAAGATGGCGCTGTTTCACTTCTCTAGAGGTACCGGAAGTATATGCTTCGAGAATTTGATATGTTCATCATTCACCAATCATTGTAAAAGTTGAATGCCAGGTTTGGTTTGATCCAGGAAAATCAACAATTTAAATGAAGGCATCATAATTTTAAAACTTTTTCAGCGGGATTTTGGTAGACATGATTTCTGCTCCAGTCCAGTTTCCTACTCTTAGATGCGTCCAAAAAACAGAAAGCCATGCAGTGTTTGTGAAAGTCTACGTTTTCTCCACATAATGAACCCTACTCAAAAGGATTTACCTAAACCAGAGTAATGCAGATGATAAAATATTATCCCAAATGTCATTCACGCCAATAAGACTATACAACTTCGTCATCAATCCAGGGAAAATAGATATTGATCTAAATAGTTTTGTCAGCCTAATTGTGACATGCGAGATAAAACTTGTATTTTTGTTTTTGTTTTTGGAAGGTGTGTGTTGTGTTATATCTGACCTAAAACTAACTCAACCAACGAGCAACAGGGCATCATAAAGTCAAAACATGGTCATAGTGTGAGGATTTGGGACTGATCTGTTTCCTCAACACATGGATAACTTAGTTTTTTCTTGGACATTTTTGACTTTGTAAACTCAGAAATGTCTTTCTTTTTTTTATTTTATTTATTTATTTATTTTTAGAAAATTTCTAAGATAATCTCAAAATTTCATTTTTTTTCAGAGTAAATTTCCTCCTTTTTATTCTACAATGTCTGTGATTAACCGTAGTAGAGGACCCTATGTTTCTTTACTTTTGGAATATACAATAATTCCCTAAATAATATTTTAAGGATTTACTGTCAATTTCTATTCCTATGTCTTGGGGTCAGTAAGCTTACATAACCGCTAGGAGTCACTGTTTCACAGAATCCACCTATGTAGACGTCTCATTAATAACAGTCTGTCACCACCATCTTCGACGCCCCTTTCTGCCACGCCATGACGCCCCAGCATCGTATCGGCTCCCGGCTGTGGCATCACCGAGCGGGGAGGGGCTCCGTTCAATACTACTGGTTTGCACTGTAATACCGACGGCTTTCCGATAGGGCCACGGAGGAAAAGATGTTTCAGAACAGTGGTCCTTTCATGCACCCGAGGCTCCGGGCTTTGATTTGATTTAAACAATACCTCATTTTGTTTTTTTTTCCGCCTTTGTTCATATTATAAGACCTCGGAACGGAGGGGAATTTTACTCACCAAGAGGAGATGCGTCCACCAAAACGCGGATACATTGTCCGGACAGGAGCGGAGGAGAGGAGCATGTAACTGGGAGAACCGCACTACCACCACCTGACACTTCTCTTCCCCTCTCCTCATTATTCCCCTCCAAATTAAGGGCTTCTCCATGTGTTGACTCAGTTCTCGGCGCTGTTTGGGAATATCTCTCTCCAGAAAAAATGAGTGAAGAATCGTCTGATGTTCCTAAAGAGCTTCTGGGTAAGAACAGGCAGTGATTTGTAACCACGAGTCTCTCCTGCAAACAATTACTGATCCTGCTGCTTTATCCCACTCTGATCATTCGCTCCATGTGTGTTTAGAGTGAGTGGCCATTCATTATGTTCTTTAAAGTTGCGCTATTATCTTCTTGAATGTGCAACATTTTTCCTCCACTGACAACTGTTTCCTTCTTGTTATTGTAGGGTTTGCAAACCATTGTCCTTCTAAATATATGCAATTTATGCAGAGTTTATCATGTGAAGGTGGTCCAGCTGCACTGAACCTTCAAGCTGTTTATCCATGGAGCTTTGCCACAGAACGCTCACAATGTGGACTATGTTAGGAGGAAAAGCCAAATAGTTAAGATGTGAGTGGTCTGTCTGTCTGTCTGTCTGGGCTGTGCACATTACTCACAGGATCATTTTCCTTATATAGAAAGTCTGGGCCAATCTCCCATCTCTGTCCTGGAGTTTTACCATTCATAGCAGCCTCATTATTTCTGCTTTCTTGTGCTTCACTTATGTGTCTTTATTATAATCTCTGTGTCCTGTAGCTCTTTGGCTGTAGATCAAGGTTTCTTTGTTTGGGAGAGTAAATTCAGTGTTTGACACCTCGGTGTAATATTGAGCTGTTTCTCAGAGTTCATTTCTTACAAGCCCGAGATGCTTTTGGCCTATTTCATAGTCGTGAAAACCCTTAGGCGGTGTAGAATATCATTAAGATTTCTTTCTTTCTCACTGCTATATGTTCTGTTGGTTTAACTCCCCCAAACTGATAGCTGAGCCAAAGTTACGCAACAACTGCCATGATAAAAAAAAAACCCCTGCAGAAAGAAAGACCAAGGATAAAAGAAGAATTCAGAATGATCTTTAAATCTGAGCATTGAGAATCTAAGGATGTCGTCTTCTCCTCAGGTTTCCCTCTTGACTAAGACAGAAACTACAACCGGACATTATATTAAAATGACAATCGTCATCATAGTTTCAGAGTGCGGTGGCACAATTGTAATGTAAGTAATGGGCAGCAAAAATCTGCATGCAAATAAGGAAACATGTTTAATAGGCCATCGTTGCCCCTGATGATCAAACCTCTCATAGACGTTAGAAATTGAAATATTAAAGCTACAAAGAAATCACAACGAGATGAAGGAAAGAGAAAAGTGAAGAAAATCAGCTTATTTGCAATAATATCACAATTGCATGGAGTCGAGGGAAAAACAAAGCAGAGGAACTTTAAATTTCTGACACAAAGGGAAGCTATACTTCTGCTGGATGTTTTGACTACAGAAGGGTGCCATTCATCCAGTGTCTGCCGTGTGATTGGCAATAGAACACAGGTGTACGTAATAAAAAGGCAGGTGAGTGACTGGATCAAATTCGTCAAACATTTGACGCCTAATATTTGCAACTTCGACTTTTATCATTGGAATTTCTTGAAACTCTTGTTGATTTATTTACCCCATTCTTTACTTGTTCCGTAAGAAATCTAGCAAGTCATGACTCTCAAGTCATGAGGTGTTGTCTGGAGCAGTAGACCAGTCATTGTTTACTGCCATGCTGCCTGTGATTTAGCATCATGCATTATCCCTCTTGGTATGCATCCCAAAGAAGAAAAGTCTTCACGATGTCGTTGACTGAACTAAATTGATGATTTCAGCTTAGTTACACCAGAACTTTCTATATCCTCTTGCACGTCTTCTATAACTGGTTCTTACGCCTACTAACTTTTATCTTAAAGCTTTCAGAATAAACATATTTTCATTTCTCTGGGACTCAATTTTTAGTAGAGAAGAGATCGGCAGAGCTGATTAGATGTACAAAGCAAATTTTACGCAATTTGTAGGATCACACTGTAGCTAGCAGAGATAATCGGGACACTGTTGTATCATCTCAGCAGTAAAGAATCAATTTGATCTCAGTGTGTGGGTTCACTCGCATGGCCTGCTTCGAAGGGTATA